TCAGCTACAAAAAGGCGTGGCACGGGAGAAAAAAAGCCATTGATCATCTGTATGGCACGTGGGAAACGAACTTCGCACAACTCCCTCAGTAAGCAAAAATAAATTATAAACGTATTTACGTGTTGTTTTTAACTATATTTATTTTTTTATTTATTTATGGTTACCTTTTATAATTTGCAGGTTTTTCGCCGCCCTTCAAAGGGCGAATCCCGGTACAGTCGTTGAGTGGGAATGGCAGGGTGGAGAAATGGCGAAGCAATCTCGAGACGGAGAATTCAGATTTGTCTTCTGGGCATTCGGCCCCGCCATTCAAACTTTCGTTCGTTGCCCGCCGATTATTAGCATCGACGGCACGCACCTGCGAGGTTCGTACAAGGAGAAACTACTTGTTAATTGCAAATTAATATTTTATTTTTTAATTTACAATAGTGTCTCATAAAAAAAAACATATGTCCAACTGGGCAGGTTCGTACAAGGGGAAGCTGCTTGTAGCCATAGCACAGACCGCGAATAAGCGTCTATTGCCAGTCGCGTATGCAATTGTGGACGAAGAAAGCACGGCTAGCTGGTCCTTTTTCCTAACACATCTGCGCCATCATGTCGTCCCCGGCAGAGCGATATGTCTTCTTTCCGACAGGGACAACGGCATATTGAGTGCTGTTGAATTACTGGAGACTTGGCACGAACCCCATGCATTTCATCGGATATGCCTTCGACACCTCCGGAGCAACGTGTTTTCAAGGTACCGGAATAAACAAGTCTGGGGTTTGTGTTGGAGGTTGGGTTCACTGTGTTCTCGCCGCAAATTTGAGCAGAGTCGACAGGAACTCCATCAATGTAACCCGGACGCATATGATTACCTTTTCAAAATTTCTCTTGAAAAGTGGACCCTGTACAAAGATGGAGGACGTCGATGGGGAACTCTGACAACGAATATGTCAGAGAGTTACAACAATGTCCTCAAAGGTGTTAGGTTCCTGCCCTGCAGAGCGTTGGTACAGGCCACATTGAACAAGACTCTGGATTTGTTTGAACAAGAACAAAAGAAGTCCAGAGCATGCAGGACTCCCATTCCTACCGACCTCTATGCCGCCTATTGGGAGTTGGAAAAGACGGCGGTGACTCACGAGGTGCATTGTGTGGATGCCGACGGATCCCAGTACATGGTGACAACCGGTCTACGCGCCAATGGAAGAGGGCAAAACAAGTATGTATTTTGTAATTGTATTTTTTTTCCATTCAAATGAGTTTATTAATTTTCTAATTTATATATATAAATCATTGTTGAAAATAGGTTTAAGGTCTTTTATGAGCAGCAGCGTTGTGCATGTAGGAAATGACAGACACATCAAAAACCATGCTCTCATGCAATTCGAGTGTGTCGTCAGCGGGGTGATCAACCGGTGTCGTTGTATAATCCCTACTTTTGGACGGAGAACTGGGTTAATCAATTTTCTAATTGGAATTTTACTCCAGTTGGAAATCCTGACACGTGGCCGCAGGTGGGATGGAATTTGATTCCGCATTGGGAGAGGATCATCTCGAAGCCTGGACCCGGTCGCGCCCAAACTAGACGCTTTAAAATGCAAATGGATCGTCGGGCGCGCCGCAGAAGGGGCCGGGGTCAATGCACTAGATGTGGTGATCCCTTACATTTCGCAGACCATTGCCCGTATTCGCATCCTCCCATCGATCGAACTAGACTCCGCGATGATTGGGGGAACTAAATTTTTTTAGATGAATATTTTGTAATATCCCATTCAGTAATTAATAAAAGTAATTATTTTAGTTCTAAGTTTGAACTAATTACGTTTATTAATAATGCTCGTTCCTAGTTTCGAGCCCAGTTATAAGCATTAATTACACATTAATGTTTATTGAAGTGAAATAAGTTATTTAAAATGAAGTTCAAGTTCAAGTAACATTCCATTTTATTTAACTAAATGGATGTAAATTTGGCCATTTCTAGTTTGAATGAGAAAGAAAAAGAATAATGAGTCGAGACAAGTTAGGTCTCGAGTTCGGTTAAGTATCCATGAACATTTAAGTTATAAATGTTCAAAGAAGTGAGAAATTTATTTAGACATTTTAGTCTATTTAAATTATTAGAGAGAAATATGAAATTTTTAGAATTTTCGTTTTTTTTCGGTTTTCGATTGTAGTCGGAATTTATGTCCGATTTCAGTTCTGAGAAATAAATTAAATTATTTTCTCTCTATTTTTTTTAGTAGACTACAAGACAAGAAAAATTTTTCAGCATAAAAAGGAAAAATGCCAAA